AATCCAGGAGCTGGATTTTTGAAAAAAAAAATAGACAGACCACTAGCCAGATTGATAAAAAAGAAAAGAGAGAATAATCAAATTGAGGCAATATGAAAATAATAAAGGGTATATCACCACAGATTCCATAGAAATTCAAACCATCAACAGAGATGACTACAAACAACTCTATGTACATAAACTAGTAAACCTGGAAGAAATGGATAAATTCCTGAACAGTTGCATCCTCCCAAGTATATACCAGGAAGAAGTAGAACCCCTGAATAGACTAATAACAAGGTCTGAAGTTGAGGCTGCAATTAAGTGCCTATCACCCAAGAAAAGCCCAGGTCCAGATGGGTTCACAGCTGAATTCTACCAGATACAAAAAGATGAGCTGGTACCATTCCTTCTGAAACTATTCCAAACAATACAAAAAGAGGGAATTCTTCCCAAATCATTTTATGAGACCAATATCATTCTGATACGAAAACCCAGCACAGACTCAGCAAGAAACGAAAACCTCAGGCCAATAACCATGATGAACATAGATGCAAAAATCTTCAATAAAATACTGGCAAGCCGATTGCAACAGCACATCAAAAAGCTTATCCACCATGATCAAGTAGAATTCATCCCAGTGATGCAAGGCTGGTTCAACATATGCAAATCTATAAATGTAATTCACTACATAAACACAACCAAAGACAAAAACCACATGATCATCTCAATTGATGCAGAGAAGACTTTGACAATATTCAACAGTGCTTTATGCTAAAAACATATCTCAAAATAATAAAAACTATTTATGACAAACTAACAGCCAATATCATAATGAATGGGCAAAAACTGGAAGCATTCCTTTTGAAATCTGGCACTAGACAAGAATGCCCTCTCTCGCCACTCCTATTCAATATAGTACACATATAATATATATAATATAACTCTATATAATACATAATATAGTTCTAGCCAGAGCAATCAGGTAAACAAAAAAAAGAAAGAAAGAAAGAAAGCATATTCAAACAGGAAAGAAGGAAGTCAAATTGTCCCTATTTGCAGACGACATGATTGTATATCTAGAAGACCCCATCGTCTTAGACCAAAATCTCCTAAACTGAGAAGCAAATTCAGCAAAGTGTCAAGATACAAAATTAATGTGCAAAAATCACATGCATTCCTATACACAAATTACAGACTTAAAGAGAGCCAAATCAAGAACTAACTGCCATTCAAAATTTCCTGGGAATAAAATACCTAGGAATACAACTAACAAGGAATGTAAGGGACATCTTCAAGGAGTACTACGAACCACTGCTCAATGAAATAAAAAAGGACAAAAACAGATGAAGAAACATTCCATGTTCATGGTTAGGAAGAATCAATATTGTGAAAATGGCCATTTTGCCCAAAGAAATTTACGATTCAATGCTATCCCCATCCAGCTACGAATGATCTTCACAGAACTGGAAAAAAAACACCTTAAATTTCATATGGAACCAAAAGAGAGCCCACATAGCCAAGTCAATTCTAAGCAAAAAGAACAAAGTGGGAGGCATCAAAATACTGGGCTTCAAACTATACTACAAGGCTACAGTAATCAAAACAGTATGGTTCTTGTACCAAAACAGAGATATAGATCAATGGAACAGAGCAGAGGCCTTGGAGGCAACACAACACATCTACAACCATCCGATCTTTGACAAACCTGACAAAAACAAGCAATGTGGAAATGATTCCCTGTTTAATAAATGGTGCTGGGAAAACTGGCTAGCCATGTGCAGAAAGCAGAAACTGGACCTCTTCCTAAGCCTTACACTAAAATTAACTCCCGATGCATTAAAGATTTAAACATAAGACCTAACACCGTAAAAACCCTAGAAGAAAATCTAGGGAAAACCATTCAGGACATAGGCATAGGCAAGGGCTTCATGACCAAAACACTAAAAGCATTGACAACAGGAGCCAAAATAGACAAATGGGACCTAATCAAACTTCACAGCTTCTGCACAGCAAAGGAAACAGTCATTAGAGTGAATCAACAACCAACAGGATGGGAAAAAATTTTTTGCAGTTTACCCATCTGACAAAGGACTGATATCCAGAATTTACAAAGAACTAAAACAGATTTACAAGAGAAAAACAAACAAGCCCATTCAAAAGTGAGCAAAGGATATAAACAGACACTTTACAAAAAAAGACATACATGAGGCCAACAAACATATGAAAAAATGCTCATCATCACTGGTCATCAGAGAAATGCAAATCAAAACTACATTGAGATACCATCTCACACCAGTTAGAATGGCGATCATTCAAAAATCTGGAGACAATAGATGGAGAGAGAATGTGGAGAAATAGGAACACTTTTACACTGTTTGTTGGAGTGTAAATTTGTTCTGCCATTGTGGAAGACAATGTAGCGATTCCTCAAGGACCTAGAAATAGAAATTCCATTTGACCCAGCAATCCCATTACTGGGTATATATTCAAAGGATTATAAATCATTCACTATAACGACACATGGACACAAATATTCATTGCAGCACTGTTTAGAATAGCAAAGACTTGGAACCAACCCAAACACCCATTGATGATAGACTGGACAGGGAAAATGTGGCACATATACATCATGGAATATTATGCAACCATCAACAACACTGAGTTTGTATCCTTTGTAGGGAAATGGATAAACTTTGAAGCCATTATTCTCAGCAAACTGATGCAAGAGCAGAAAATCAAACGCCACATGTTCTCACTCATAGGTGTGTGTTGAACAATGAGAACGCATGGAGACAGAGAAGGAAGCATCACACACTGGGGTGTGTTGAGTGGAAATAGGGGAGGAACAGTGGGCTGGGGAGTTGGGCAGGGATAGAATGGGAGGGATAGCATGGGGAGAAATGCCAGATATAGGTGATGGGGAGAACTGCCATGTGTGTTCCTATGCAACAATTTGCATGTTCTTCACATGTACCCCCAAACCTAAAATGCAATTAAAAAAAGTATAACAGTAAAAAAAAAGAATATTGAATATTGGCCTTCATTCTCTTCTGGCTTATAAGGTTTCTTCAGAGAGATCCACTTTTAGTTTGATGGGCTTCCCTTTGTGGGTAAGCCACTTTTGCTCTCTGGCACTTTAACATTTTTCCTTCATTTCAACCTTGTGACTCTGCTGATTGTGTCTGGGGTTGTTATTCTCGATGAGTATCTTCATGGTATTCTGTGTATTTCCTGAATTTGAATGTTGCCCTGTCTTGCAAGGTTGGGGTATTTCTAGATTCTATTCTCCTCATCACTTTTAGGCACACCATTCACACATGGTTGTGGTCTTTTCACATAGATATTAGTAAGATGATCTAGCCTGTCTCTTTCTCTGTTTCTTTCTCTCTTTCCTTCTTTCTTTTCTTTTCTTTTTTTT